CTGATGAATTTATCTTTTTGGAATGTAAGGGGATTGAAGAAATCCTCTAAACAGTTTTTGGTTAAACATCATTTATATCAAAATCATCTTTCTTTTATTGCCCTTCTTGAAACAAAAATAAAGGATTGCAACCTGTCAGCCATTACAAAGAAGACAGCCGTCAATTGGAAATGGGTTTCAAATGTGTCAAACATTGTTAAGACAAGAATTCTGGTTCTATGAGATCCTGATATTCTGAACATTCAAGTTGTACATATCAATCCTCAGCATATAACTTGTTCTGTTAAGTCAGTAGATGGAAGAATTGACTGCATTGTTACATCAATCTATGGTTATAACCAGCACGGAATAAGGAAGGAATTATGATCTGATCTCTTTCAATTAAAGCAATCTTTAGGGAATGTGCCTTGGATTCTCTGTGGGGATTTCAACACTATGATCAATAATGATAAAAAATTGGGGGTGCTATGCTTACTGATTCAGATACAAAGGATTTCAACTCATTCATTGAAGATTGTCAATTTTTACACCTCAAAATATTAGGGAATTTTTTCACCTGGAACAATAAGCAAGAACATGACACTAGGGTCTGGTGCAGGTTGGATAGAGCTCTAGTAAATGACTCATGGATACAAAAGTATAATTCAAGCCTGTAGAGTTCTTACTTCCAAACATCTCAGATCACTCTCCTGCTTTGGTATCAATTTATGAAGAGGAAAAGCAAGGAAAAAAACCATTTAAGTTCTTTAAAATGTGGATTAATCACAGCAATTTCCTACCCACAGTTTCTTTTATGTGGCAAGTCATGTTGAAGGATATAGAATGTTTTCAGTATATACCAAGCTCAAACGTTTGAAGGGTGCCCTGAAAGATCTTAACAGGAAGCGTTATGGCAATATAAGTGAATAAGTTCAAAGAGCTAAATATACATTAGAGGAAACTCAAAAAAAAACTGTAAGAAAACCCTCTCAATCCTACACTCATCAGTTAAGAAAAATATTGTTTATCTGCCTATAATACGCTCTTGAACTGTGAGATATCCTTTTACCAGCAAAAAGCCAAAATTCAATAGAGTATTAAAGAGGATAGATGTACCAACTACTTTCATTTCATTATCAAAACAAACAGACATTAGAACAGAGTGTTGGTCCTTAATAACTTAATAGCAATATACTTGTAGAGAACAAGGACTGGTTTCTTTCTTTATAACTTCAGATGGCTCCCAGGTTTGGATCCTTTTGGAAATAGTAGCTGCGTAGTTATTTCCCTTTATGTTGTTTTTTCTCTTAAGTTTTTTTGTAGCTTACTTAGTATCTGAGTTCTGATGTACATAAACTTCCAATACGGTTAAATGAATAAAGCTCTTCATTTACAAAAAAAAATCCAACCCGGCCCGGAGCCTGCCCGGGGACCCCAAGCCTGGGCTAGGCATTTTGCCCAGCCCAGCTCGGACCCGAAAATCCGGGCAGGACCAGGCCGGCCCGTTTGGACAGCCTTAGGTTTACACATAATCCCCTAAACTTTTTTTTATCTCAAGAGCCCGCTAAACTTTTCTCGTCATCAGATTCATGTAGTTGTATTTTACAACTAATAAAAATGTCCTTAAGAGAAAGGACCCACACCTTTCACACACACCCACACACATACAATTGAGTTTTCCCCCCTCATGGACATTTATCTATTTGCCAATTATAGTAGCGATACGTTCTAAAGTTGAGGGGGGGTATTTGAGAGAAAAAATAGTCAGGAGGATTATGTGCAAGCCCCACAAACTTGCAGGATTGTTTTGTAAAATTAACCCTTCATTGAAGGACCTATCCTTGACTCGTCAACGCAATTCCAACCACTGTAGTCTATATATAGTATATACCATGCACTAAAGCAGTTTAGAAAAATAAAAATGTCCAGATATATCGCATGTAGATTTACTACACTAACCTCTGCCAATAGATAATGACATTTGGTAAAAAAAAAAGTGTATGTTGTTTTCGTGGGGAAAAAGGTTTATGTTCTGTAATAAAAGTAGTTTAGACTTGTTTACTAAACTACTTAATTTGTTACTCTTTACCTTCTGAACTACATTTTATTCCATATACGTCCCCTTAAA